AATATTTATTTAATCTACAGCAATTCTAGGAAATCTAGGCCACTGGTTTCTTATTTAACCAAGAGACTTGGATAATATCTATCAGTCACAATGTGAACCTCTAAAAATAAATTTTTAAAAAGTCCCCTGAAAACAGATGGTGAATATTTTCCAAGTTATTATGAATTATACTAGGTACAGATGACATGATCAACAACTGTGTTAGGGTCATGAACTGTCTTGGTGCTGGGTAAGCAGTATGTACATGGTGGCAATGAAACAGTGAATGGTTGTAGTTCTCTGACAGTCACTTCACTTTGTGCTGATGCTTCTGACCTTGAAGTAAACACCAATCAAGAAGGAAGGATGGGAATCAGAGGCAACGTCACTTCAGCTTAACAGAACAAAATATTTAGGAAAATGCAAACAACAGAAAGCAGGGGAGAAATAGGGCTTTTTGGAGATCTCAATCCACAGGAGTTTTCCCTAGGATCTATGGTTTGACAAAGCCTCACAGAGTTGTGTTCTGAGAGTTGGGAGGTATTCCAATGACATCTTGAATCACCTTACTGAGATTAAGTATTGCCTTTCTGATGGGCTAAGGTGGTTTTAAAATTAAGTGCACAAATTCTTTGAGACTCCTCTCTCTAGGAAGTGAAACTTAATTCCCTCCCCCTTGAGTGTGGCCTGGACTTAGTGACTCAATTCTAAGGAGTTAATGATCATAATAAGGCAGAAGTGGGACTATGTCCTTTCTAAGATTAGGTTATAAAGAACTGAGGCTTCAGTCTTGAGTTCTATCATATATTTTCTTTGTGTGTCTGTCTGTCTCATCACCTGCTCTAGGGAAAGCCAGCTGCCATGTAATGGAGACTCTCAAGTAACCTACAGAGGGTCTCATGTCACGAGGAACGGAGGCCTCCGGCCAACAGCCAGCAAGGAACAGAAGCCGTGCTAACAACCATGTGAATAAACTTGGAAATGAATCCTTCAGTCCCAGATGACTGCAGCCCTGGCTAACACCTGGACCACAATCTCAGAAGAGACCCTGGGCCATCATGTCCTAGGTCCTTAATCCACAGAAACCATGCAATATAATTGTTGCTTTTAAGCTGCCAAGTGTTGGTGTTGTGTGTTACACAGTAAGGGGTAACCAACACATAGGCCAACCACAGAGAAGTGAGGAGCAATACTGAATGAAGGAGAAGTGGGTCACACAAGAGAAGCAACATTTCATACTCAAGACATGAAATCCTTAGTCCTTTAACTGGAAGACAGAATTAGAAACCCTAGACCAACAAGATCCTAATATTAAGTTATTCTTAATGTGAGATGATCACCTCACCTGGGCTGGGTCCTGTGAAATCCACCCCTTCTCAAAGTTTCTACCCTTGCAAAGCTTGAAGCAATATCACCAGGTGATGTATCCACATGGGGCCTGCATTTCTGTCCTCATAAAATAAGCAGAGTTGGCCAGGCTGTGGAATCATAATTTATGCAGCAAAGGAATAACAGCTCATTTATAAGCTCCCCAAGGATCATGTAACTAAATGCACATGATTCTGCTTATGAAGTTGAGCTGCCACGGTTTCTGCACTTCTTTTAATAAGCTTCTGAGTCACTTCTCAGCTTTTGTTTTCCTGCAAAGGAGCCTTTCTTCTGCTCTAAAACAAAGAATCTTCAGCACTGGTATTTAAAGATGTACCTGTCCTATGTGCAACAGATATTATTTAAATAGTTATATCTTTCCCTGAAGGAAAAATTCTTTGACAGTAAGTAAAAAATAGAGGGAAAAAATGTGCATTATGATTTCCTTTGCTTGGGAGCTTGTGCATGCAGGTCACAAGAGGCACTTTGCCCCTTACATAGGGTCTTCTTCATGATTGATTGACCTTATTTCTAAAATTTATATATTTATCGGGTTATTTCTTAACCTGAACTTCTTCCTGATGTTTCCTTCCAGACCCCCAGTAGATGATGGTCATGCAGAGATAGAGGAGGCCCATAGAGGGCTCAGAAGAACATCAGGCCATTGTTACCTTGTCCCCCAGGTAAGATGGAGGCGCGATCCAAGATGCACTGTGCACTGTTGAGGGAAGCTCCTGGAGATCTGCCACGACACTGTTGCTACCTGGGTTGAATGAAACAGGGACATCCACTCGATCTGCTGTCTCCAGGTGCCATCCCATCATATCCACAAACTGGAACACAAAAGCAGGGCATGGAAATGTGAGGCTGTGACCTCTTGGGGAATGGCTGCATTACGTGTCATAGAAGGAGCCACAGGATAGCCACCTAGCTCCAGAGGCTTCCTTTATGTGTCCCCTCTTTTTAATTTTTATTTTTTTATTTTATACACTGAGCTATACCCGCACTCAAGTGTCTGACCATGAGCTTGCCCTCCCTAAGACTCTGACGTTGGAGCCCTCACCCACCACTGCTCCCATCAGACTCATTGTGACTAGGAGTTCTCGGAGGGCAGTGATCATGCATATGCAGGACTTATCCTTGTATCCCAGCACACATCCTAAGTTCTTGACATTTAGTATTTGGTCAATGAATGTTTGAATCATAAATAATAAGTATATGAATAATAATTAGAACTATGGGCACATTTAATAGGCAAGTTCTATGGAGAGAAATGTGTTGCTGTCATTATTTCTTTGCCAATGGGTCATCAAAATGAAATATTTTCCTGGTCACAAAAGAAGCTGGTTCCATTTTGAGAGAAGCAAATAGAAAGAATTGACAAGGCATAGATTAGAAAAAATGCCTTCTGCTTCCCTGGGGGGTAAGGAGAGAAGACCAGGGCAGATTTACAAACTAATTTTTTTTTCCAATTATAAGTCTGTACTCCTTTGTAGGAGGCAAGCAGTAAAATATATAGAATAATCTTCCTTTAAATCTTTGTTGGATATAAGACATTACTCACGCAAAGCAAGCAAGCATGATGCTATTGGTTCATGGAAAAATGGAAAACAACAGAAGTTGTTTTATGAAGTTAATTTAGAAAGTGGTCAAAGAAAAGATGTGATAAAATAGGTGAGAAGGAAAGTAAAACAGGAAGAAGAAGAAAAGAGAAAGGAAAATAAGAAGAAAAGATAAAG